TGACTGCCCCCCGCTCCCCCATCCAACCCCCCCTCTCCTTCCTGACTGCCCCCCCGGTACCCCTGCCCCCATTCAACCCCACTGTTCCCCGCCCTCTGACCGCCCCAACCCCTATCCACACCCCTGCCCCCCTGACCACCACCCCAAACTCCCCCTGCCCTCTATCCAACCCCACCTCCTCCCTGGCCCCTTACCACGCTGCTTGGAGCACCAGTGGCTGGCGGCGCTACAGCTGCGCCGCCCAGAGCACCAGGACAGGCAGCCGTGCTGCCTGGCTGGAGCCAGCCACGCCACCGCGCAGCACAGAGCACCAGGTCAGGCCCCAGCTCTGCAGCTCCACTGACCCAGGAGCTCGCAGCCCCGCTCCTCAGAGCATTGTGCTGGCGGCACAGTGATCTGAGGCTGTGGGGGAGGGGGAACAGCAGCGGAGGGGCCGGGGGCTAGCCTCTCGAGCCAGGAGCTCAGGGGCCAGGCAGGAGAGTCCCGGGGGCCGGATGTGGCCCATGAGCCGTAGTTTGCCCACCTCTGGCCTACATCTTTTTAATCTAAAACTATTATGCATTAATAATAATTGTATGGTTATAGCATGGCATCCCTACAGGGTGTAGTTTAGGTTGTTTGGGTGCCATACCTGGGTATTTCCATACCTGCGCATTTGGATTTCTTTTAAATTTATCAATTAATCATCCAATGGGATGGATTAGACAATGTGGCCATCAGATCTTCACTGGGCCTTACAACTCTGGAGCCCTTACCCAGGCTTCCAATATCTTGAAATATATCCTGACTACTAACTAAAGATACAAGGCCTGATTCTCCTCTCGTACTGCTTTTACACCAGGGAAGCTCCACTGACATCTGTAGAGCTACTTCTGATTTAAAGTGGTGTAAGTGAGAGCAGAATCAGGCCCACAAAATCATACTGTCACAAGCTTCTTAAAGACCTGTGACAGCAGATGTAGATGAGGAAAAAATGCCTTTCCCCTATAGCTGAACAGGCATTTTTCCTTAGAAAAATAAAACAAATTTGGAGTTTGTAAGCCAAGTCATTTTAAAGATAGGAACCACACACACAAAAATTAGAAAAATGTTTATAAGCTGAAGAACAGGATTTTTTTTTTTTTTGAAACAGCATACCTTTAAGAACATTCCCCAGAATGTTTTCAGTCTTCCCAGAAAAGCTCTATCCTGCCATGACATAAGGTATGTGAAATTTCAGAGGGATTATTAATTTCTTTTTGATAAACTGAAAGGGCGTGGAAGTTGAAATTTTGGCTTACCATAGGTTGCTAATTTCCATATTAAATATATAGAGACTACCACAACTCCATAAGATTGTATATCTCAAATCCATGTGAACTCCCCTTTTTTCCATGCTAATAGTAAATGAAGAGCTAGATTGGTTTGGTAAATGAGGTATTTTGTGATCTGTGTGCTAATGAACAAATTATCAAGAAGTCCTATTGGACTTCAAAGGCCTTGTACCCACCTACACCAGTAGAAAATTTGGCACTATATTTGTGCAATTGATTGGGTAAAGAAGCATACATTGTCTGTGTCTGGAATGGGGGGCATTGCGACTCACATCATGAGGTTGCTATAGTGTGGTCCCAAGTCCACACAGGGAGGTGAATGTAGCAACTTCAAGTGGAATGGTGGATATCAGACAGCATTGTTTGTGGACTAGTTATCATAGGTGGGACTGATATAACTCCAAAATGAATCCTTTGTGAAGGTGACTGTTAAAAAATATAACACTTTCCAATCTCAACACCATCACAGGACCTAACCAGATCAGCTACAACATCACCGGCTCATTCACCTGCACGTCCACCAATGTTATATATGCCATCATGTGCCAGCAATGCCCCTCTGCTATGTACATTGGCCAAACTGGACAGTCACTACGCAAGAGGATAAATGGACACAAGTCAGATATCAGGAATGGCAATATACAAAAACCTGGAGGAGAACACTTCAACCTCCCTGGCCACACAATAGCAGATGTAAAGGTAGCCATTTTACAGCAAAAAAACTTCAGGACCAGACTCCAAAGAGAAACTGCTGAGCTCCAGTTCATTTGCAAATTTGACACCATCAGATTAGGATTAAACAAAGCCTGTGAATGGCTATCCAACTACAGAAGCAGTTTCTCCTCCCTTGGTGTTCACACCTCAACTGCTAGCAGAGCACCTCACCCTCCCTGATTGAACTAACTACGTTATCTCCATACTGAGTTAAACCTGCCTCTGGAAATTTCCATTACTTGCGTCTGATGAAGTGGGCACTCACCCACAAAAGCTTATGCTCCAATACTTCTGTTAGTCTTAAAAGTGCCACAGGACCCTCTGTTGATTCAGACTAACACGGCTACCCCTCTGATATAAGGTGTAAGGCAGTACAGAGTCAGATCCCTAGAGCAGTTCTCAATCTGGGAGTCATGAACAGATATCAGGAGGTCAAGACTACCCTAACCTTTCTACATTGGTAGAAACAGAGGGGCATCCTGGAGTGGTCACTTTTGGAAAAGGGGGTTGCGAATGTAAAGGCTGAGAACCACTGATCCAGACCTCTGGCAGGTGGGAGAGGAGTCACACAAAGATTTTGAGGTTGTGCACTAGTGGGCAAGAGCCATACCAAGGTCCTTGTAGCAAAGGCTGGCACCCTCCCCTCCCCGGACCGCCAGCATCTGGCCTAGGTCAGGTTCCTCACAGCCCTGTCTGGCAGGCACCAGGCGGTCACAACCCCAGGGCTAGGCACTCCTGCCTCGCTCGAGACCGGTGTCCTCCTCTGGGAGGTGCCTCCATCCTCAGGGACCGCTTAGTGGGGCCACAAGCTGCAGGCGCCCTCACTCCCCCGCCCGCTGCCTGGCCAGCCGCTGGCGGGTCCCAGCACCACGGTCCCCGTCCCCGCCTGCCGGCGCAAGGTGCCGG